AGAATTAAATGAGACATGCACATAACATGTAGCACATTATATGTTGGGTTATTAATATATTTGCCTCTAAATTGTCATTTGCTGAAAAAGAAAAAGGTAAACCACCTATTAATTGCTAATATTTTTTTCAAGCAGAATAAACCATGTTAAATACACAGATCAACTATAAGATGCATTCAAATTTCAGAAACACTAAAATATAAAAAATGTGCATCTTTGAATCAAGGAATATACATTATCATAATTATGACAATCAGTCTGCAAAGAATCTTTAATGCTATCCTGAAAATTCAGATTTGAGTCTACTATTAAAATCTTTCCCTTCTTGGTGGTTTCTAGGTATTTTGTTTGTAGTTCTTAAATCGCACATTAAGGTTAATGTTAACCTTCTGTTTCATGTGGTCTCTAACATGTCCTCAGCAAATAGTGGACATTCCAAAGAGTATAGAATTAAATGGAATCTGACCAACCTGTGAGAGTTGAAAATCAGGGTCTCATTCTAGAACTCAGAGATGAATAAGCCATAAGATCAGTACAAAACAAATACCAAAAAAATGCAGTTTTTGCCTGGACCTAATAGCGTATAGATAGCTCACCTCCTCCTACTGCACGTTTGGTAAACCTACAAAAAAAAAAAAAAATCTAAACAAACAAATAAAAAAACAAAACCACCTACATCAGTGGTTACCAAACTTTGCAGTCCATCTGAATTGTGTTAAAACACATTGCTGCCAAGCCCACAAGAGCTTCTGATTCAGTAGGTCCAGGGGTGGAGCTCAAGAATTTGACTTGTTGGGGCGCCTGGGTGGCTCAGTGGGTTAAAGCCTCTGCCTTCAGCTCAGGTCATGATCCCAGGGTCCTGGGATCGAGCTCCACATCGGGCTCTCTACTCAGCGGGGAGCCTGCTTCCCTTCCTCTCTCTCCCTGCCTGCCTCTCTGCCTACTTGTGATCTCTGTCTGTCAAATAAATAAATAAAATATTAAAAAAAAAAAAAAGAATTTGACTTGTTAAGCTCTGCAGGCCAGTAATGATGCCTCTGGTCTGAGGACTACACTTTGAGAACTAGAGGAAATTGAGCCTCCAGAGCCTCAGGCAGGGACAATTATATTGAAAGGCCCTTGGTTCATCTGACTTCTCTCCAGTGGGTTGGGTAAGTCGGCCTCAATGCCCAGAAGCCTATGAGCCTCTCCAGTCAGCTGCCTTCTCTGGCTTTCACTCTTCTTTTTGTTTGGCTTTCTCTACATCCACAATGACATTAAAATATTATCCTGGGGAGAAGCAACTGTGATCCCATTGAGCATTATTAGCCACAGGGCAAGAATGGGAAGTAAAATTCTGCCAGGTATCTCGGGCTCTTGTTACTGCAAACTACACTGGTCTCTTCAGGTTCCAGCAGTTTCTGCCTCCTCTGACAGATCATAGGAAACTTAGCTGAGGAAAATTTGTGGAAGAAGGTCCCCAGTGTCCAACCTCAAGAAAAACTGCTTGGCAACAATCTTAGCCTCCCTCATTTAAAGACTTCTGAAGAAACTGGCCAGATGCCCACTTTGTCTTCAGCTTCTTCTCAGCAAAAGTATCAGAAATGCAAAAAGGAGAGGGGATACCCTTGAGGCTTTCCTAGTGAGCTCCAGCTTGATCTACCATAGCCAATTGCAAGCATAAATTGTCTTCAGCCTCACTCACTGGAATTGTTCAGAAGCTAGCTGGATTTAGAAAATATTAGTTGACTGCTACAGGAAAGAGATTACATCAGTTAAAATCCTGAACTATAAACATTTAAAACACATAACTCAAATAATTTAACAACCATGGCATTTTATTATTGGGATGTTTGGACAGAATAGACTCCTCCTTTCCATAACTGTTCACACATCCTTCACACATCCTTTCTACTGCTTTGTTATTGTAACAGTGACTACTCTGTTGACCTCCTCCCGATTAACATTGTCAATTACTGCATAGTTCACCCAAACATTACTGCTTAACTACAAAAGGGCCATTCAAGGACTGGGACCATCTCCTCATCTCCTCCATCTATTTTGCTCTATTTCCATCCTAGTGCTCAAGACATAGCAGGTGCTTAATAAACATTCACAAAATCAACTAAATAATGTTTATATCAACTTACTGATCGCTCTTCATTATTGTTTTATCTCTGATACATCCTTTCCACAAAGATACCTCATTGTTTTTTTATAGTCTATATATATATTTTTTTAATCATTTTTTTATTTATTTTCAGCATAACAGTATTCATTGTTTTTGTACCACACGAAGTGCTCCATGCAATCCGTGCCCTCTCTAATACCCACCACCTGGTTCCCCCAACCTCCCACCCACCCCCACCTCTTCAAACCCTTCAGATTGTTTTTCAGAGTCCATAGTCTCTCATTGTTCACCTCCCCTTCCAATTTCCCCCAAATGCCTTCTCCTAACTCCCCATGTAGTCTATATATTTTTTTAAGATTTTTGTTTATTTATTTATTTGACAGACCGAGATCACAAGTAGGCAGAGAAGCAGGCAGAGAGAGAGGAGGAAGTAGGCTCCCTGCCGAGCAGAGAGCCCGATGCAGGGCTCAATCCCAGGACCCCAGTATCATGATCTGAGCTGAAGGCAGAGGCTTTAACCCACTGAGCCACCCAGGCACCCCCTCATTGCTTTTTTTTAGAAAACCCCTACCCTGGTGATACCTCTCTTCTCATTTTAGAAAGTAGACTGAAATGTTTCAGCATGGATGAACAGACTCATGTACTTTTTTCTTCACCAAAACATGTAAATCTTTTACTTAGGTTTTCAAACACAGATATTGAGCAGTTTAGTAGAACTTATCAAATCTTTTCTCTTATTTTTGCTGTTGTGCTTTTCAACACATGTCCAGGTATACTGACATTACTTCCTAGTCATCAATTATTTTCTTAAACCCCACTTTTCCTGTAAGCTGGCTTCCATCTATCCTCCTCTTCAGGAACTGAACATTGTTTAGGCACCAAAATCTTATTCTTGACAAATCTGAACTGCCTCTTTCTTCTTTGATTTTTATTTTTAATTTTCATTTACTTATTTTTTAATTTTATTTTTTTTATTTCTTTTCAGTGTACCAGAATTCATTGTTTATGCACCACACCCACTGCTCCATGCAATACGTGCCCTCCATAATACCCACCACCAGGCTCACCGAACCTCCCACTCCAAATCCCTCCAATCTTTGATTTCTGTAGTCCCTTGAATGTAATGAAACTGTACTTCTCTAGTTTCCTTATACTTCTTGTAATTTTTTTCTCTGCATAACAGATCCTGTTCTAAATGGAAGATGTCTCAAGCCAGGACTTTCAGAGCTTGTAGATGCTGAGGTAATTAGCAATGCTATTCACTGATACTCCAGTTCTCTGTCTGACCTGATGATGGGAGAGAACTGTTCTAAGCTACCTCAAAGCTAAGAGTGCCTATATGTCTTATCTGGGCCAATGAAGTATGAGTGGAAGTTATGTGTCAGTTTAAGGAAAGTGTTTTTTAAAACAGGCATGATTCATCATGTTTTTGTATTCCTATGTTAGAAATTGCTGAAGCATGAAGAAGAAACTCCCTTAGCCTGATGACCCAAGTGATGATGATATAGAGCATAGCCCTTCTCATAAGCTCCCCCACACCAAGAAAGGACATGTAATGTGAACAAAAAACAAACCTTTCCATTTTAAGCTGCTGAGATTTGGGACATTATGCTGGGAATCCCAAGAGTACCCTCAGGCTTGATGACTTACCAGAAAGACTCACAGGACTTGGAAGCTGTCCTAATTATGGTTATAGTTTATTACAGTGTTAGGATAAAAATCAAAATCAGCAAAGGGAAAAACATGATGTGGCAAAATCCAGGAGAAACCAAGCACAAGCTTCCAGCTGTTGCCTCCCAGTGGCGCTGCCTGAGGGCACAAGGTATACAAGGATTCCAAAATGAAAACACTAACTTAGTGATACATGTATCCACATGTTTATTGCAGCATTATTTATAATAGCCAAGATATGGGAGCAACCTAAGTGTCCATCGATAGAAGAATGGATAAAGAAGAGGTGGTGTATATATAAACAATGGAATATTACTCAGCAATAAAAAGAATGAAATCTTGCCATTAATAACAACATGGATGCATCCAGACGGAATTATGCTAAGTGAAATAAGTCAGACAAGGACAAACACCATATGATTTCACTCATGTGAAATTCAAGAAATAAAACAAATGAACAAACAAAAGAGAGGCAAAAAAAAAATCTCTTAAACATAGAGAACAAACTAGTGGTTGCCTGAGGGGAAGTGGCAGGGGAAAGGGTGAAATAGGTGAAGAAGTTTAAGAGTACACTTACCTTGATGAGCACTGAGTAATGTATAGAATTGCTGAATCACTATATTGTACAGCTGAAACTAATATAACACTGTATATAAGTATACTGGAATTTTAAAAAGTTTTTTTTAAGAAACTGAAAGGCAGGGGTGCCTGGATGGCTCAGTGGGTTAAAGCCTCTGCCTTTGGCTCAGGTCATGATCCCAGGGTCCTGGGATCGAGCCCCGCATCAGACACTCTGTTTAGCAGGAATCCTGCTTCCCCCTCTCTCTCTGCCTGCTTCTCTGCCTACTTGTGATCTCTGACTGTCAAATAAATAAATAAAATCTTTAAAAAAAAAAAAAAAAGAAACTGAAAGCCAAATTTTTCAGACCTTGTTTTGAAATTCAAAGTTAAAGGTGGATTCCTCTAAGCCCATTCCTACTGTCTCTCAGAAGCACTGGATGTTTAATACAATGAGTGGAAGACAATGAAACAGCAAAAAAATCTTACAAAACTCAAATTTAATAATATTATCTCATTATTTTATCATCATTTGGACTGAATGGAGCCTGGGCTGAGGGTGGGAGGGGAGAGCCCACTGTCTCAGATCTATGATGTCACAGCTGAAGTCACAGAGAGTTGATAAGAGCAAGGTAGATGAGAGCAGATGAGATGGGGTTGTTATGAGATGGGGCTCAAAGAGGAGAAATTCTAGGGGGAAAAGGGTGGGGTGAATTACAACTTGGGAAGCCCAGCTGGGTAACTTTCTGGGCATAACTGGGCTAGTTCTGACTTGGGTTTGGAGCTGGGGAAGGATGGGAGGGTGAAGCTGGGAGGCAAATTTTCAGAGGAAGGTTTAACTCTTGTCTAGGTCACTTCTTTAGCCTCTCAGCCCCATGTCTTTTTGATACTATCAACTATGAGGTTTCCCTCAAAGCACTTGAAGGCTGGAGCTGATAGACTTCTAGCCTATAGTGCTACCCTTAGTTGACCATGAAGATTTTGACTGTGGGGTAACCCCAATCTCAGCCAGCTATTATTTTTTTTCAGCTATTATTTTTTTACTCACGTTGTTTCTCTTTCTTCACCTACTTTCTCATTGGAATTTCTGTTTTTATGAAAAAAAGGATAGAGACTTACATGGGGCTATACTTCTATACTTCCTTACTCTCACCCTTATCTTTCTTTACACACACACACACACACACACACACAAACACACACACATTGACCCATTCAAAACACAGATGCTTAAGGAACTATGGAGACCTCTGTCCTGGTATTCTCTAGTAAGTAAACACTTCTTTTCTCACTATAAACCTGTCCTCTTCCCCCTATCATTTGTGCCTTCCCAGGGCCTAGAGCTATTTCCATCTTCGGCTCCAGAGTTTCTGGTTTCTGTTCAAGGACAAATGGCACAGCATATCTTCCAAGATCAAGAACAAAGGACCTCTAGGCAGCAGAATAGGTAAAGAGCTAATGATGAACTTCAAAAGTCTTTATATATGCTGTATGGGACACAAACTAGGGTCACCTCTCTTCCATCCCCCTTCTGGCTGTACCTATTTCCTGATAGAGTAGGGTGGGGACTTTTGTGTGTCCTCTCTCTTCCCCACCTCCTCAATGGAAGGAATATTAGATCTTTGTTATTTCACTTTAGAGGGTGGGAATCAATCTGAAATACCTCTAGGAGTTAGTTGGGTATACAACCTACAGATATTTATTTATCCCAGGATAAACTTTTGCTAGAAGTCCTTACCTCTCTATAGTGTAAATCAAGGCCAGCCATTCAAAACTATGCTTCCCTTGGACTAGGGTGGAGAGGAGGGCTAGAATCTACCCCCATGAAACTGAGTATGAGAGCCAGGCAATGTTATCCATAAAGTTGGAAGGAAGGAGGCCTGCAGTGAGCTTATGGCTCAAGAAAGCTTCAGAAAGGAATTAGGACTTGGCTTGAGCTTTTGAAGTATGCAGATGTTTTGAGATAAGAGTTTGTAGGAGTTCAGGAAGAGAATCAAAGTATCTTCAAGGTTTCTAAGCTGCCTAGCTTTGATTAAATTGCTCAGAATAGTTAAATAGACCTCTTGAGAGCCAGTGAGAAACTGAGCAGCCTGAAACCTGCAGGAAGATGGAAACCTGTTCTAAGAGTATGAAGTCTCTTGCAGACAGATGCAGGACTATAAGGGGAAAATAATGAGTAGATATTGGAGTCTATGAGAAATATATGAAGAAAGCACATAAACAACAGAGACCTGATTTGTCTGCTGACAAATAGATGTTTTGTCAGTGGCAGTGAGCAAGACACTGAAAAATAGTGATAACTATTATATGATCGTTATTATATTAATATTAACATAATATTATAATTATATAATTATGTGATTACAATGTTAATATTTATTAATATATAAACATAGCAGTATAGTAAATAGTATAATAAATAATATATAATTAGTAATAGTAATTAAGTAATATTTAAAATGAACTTTACAGTTACAAAGGCTTTCATACAATCCAATCCCAAACTACCCTCAAATATACAGTACAGTATTGTTATCTATAGGAAATATGCTATACATTAGTGATCTCCGGAATTTACTAATCTTGCATTATGAAACTTTGTACCCCTTAACCAACATTTCTTCATTTCCCTCTCACCCAGGCCCCAGATAACAACCATCTACCCTCTATTTCTATGAGTTTAACAATTTTAGATTCCACATATAATATAGATTACATAAAACTTGTCTTTCTCAGTCTGCCTTATTTCCCTTAGCATAATGTCCTCCAGGTCCACCAGTGTTGTCATAAATGACAGAATTTCCTTGTTTTTCAAGGCAAGATAATATTTGACTGTATTTATATGATACACTTTTTAATCATTCATCTATCATAAACAATATGTTGTTTCCATATCTTAGCTACTATAAATAAGGCTGCAATGAACATAGAAGTATAGGTACCTATTAAAGAACAATAATTTCATTTCTCATGTATATATACCCAATAGTGGAACTGCTGGCTCACATGGTAATTCCATTTAAAAATTTTTAATACTGTTAACCATAATGTCTGTACCAATTTACATTCCCACCAACAGTATACCAAGGTTCCTCTTTGTCTATATCTTCACCAACACTTGATATCTTTTTTCAAAATTGAGGTATAATCAACATAACATTATATTGGTTTCATGTGTACAAAAAATGATTTGATATTTTATATACTATGAAAGAACTGCCACAATATGTCTAATTAATATGTCACTATACAGAGTTACGTTTTTTCCTTGTGATGAGAAATTTTAAGATCTACTCTCTCAGTAACTTTCAAATATGCAGTACATTATTATTAACCATAGTCACTATGCTGTACATTATATCCCCACAACTTATTTTATAACTGGAACTTTGTACCTTTTGGCCCCTTAACCCATTTCACCCACCATCTTCCTCCACTCTAGCAGTCACCAATCTGTTCTCTATTTCTATGAATTCAGTTTTGGGGTTTTTTTGTGGGTGGGAGAGATTTCACAGATTAATGAGATCATATGGTTTGTCTTTTTTTAATTAAGTTCAATTAGGCAACATATAGTACATCATTAGTTTCTAATATACTATTCAACGATTCATTAGTTGGTATCTGTCTTTTTCTGACTTATTTCATGTATCATAATGCCTTCAAGTTCTATCCATGTCACAAATGCCATATTTCCTTCTTTTTTGACTGAATAATATTCCATTGTATAGAGTTATATAGTTTATAGATATCTATATCAATATAGATCACATTTTCATTACCCATTCATCCACTGATGGACACTTAGGTTGTTTCCATATCTTGACTACTGTAAATAATGCTACAATGAACATGGAAGTGCATGTATCTTTTCAAGTTAGTGTTTTCATTTTCTTTGGATAAATATTAAGAAGTAGAATTGCTAGCTCATATGGCGGCTCTATTTAATTTTTTGAGGAACCTCCATAATGTTTTCCACTGTGGCTATACTAATTTACATTCCCCTCAACAAATGTTGATCTAAGTGATCAACAAATTCCCATCTCAAGTGTTCCCTTTTCTCTACAACTTTATGAACACTTGTTATTTGTCTTTTTGATAATAATTCTAACATGTATGACCATTCTCATTATGGTTTTGATTTGCATTTCCCTGATGATTAATGAAGTTGAGCACTTTTCATGTGCCTGTTGGCTATTTGTATGTCTTCTTTGAAACAATGTCTATTCAGGTCTTTTGCCCATTTTTCAAATGGATTATTTGCTTTTTTGATATTGAGTTATATGAGTTCCTTACATATTTTGGATATTAGCCCCTTATCAAATGTATGGTTTGCAAGTATTTTCTCTCATTTCAGAGGTTGCCTTTTCGTTTTCTTGATTTTTTTTTGTTGTTGTGCAGAAAGTTATTAGTTTGATATAGTCCCACTTTTTTATTTTTGTTTTTGTTGCCAGGACTTATGGTGCCATATCCAAAAAAAATCGCTAAAAATAATGTCAAGGAGCTTTTCCCTTTGTTTTCTTCTAGGAGCTTTACAATGTGAGGTCTTTAAGTCTTTAATCAATGCTGGTTTGATTTTTATGCATGTTATAAAAGTTCAATTTCATTCTTTTGCATTTGGATATCCTGTTTCCTCAACACAGTTTTTTTGAAAAAAAAAAAAAAACATCTTTTTTCCATTTTGTATCCTTAGTTCCCTAGTCAAAGATTAGTTTACTGTATATATGTGTATTAATTTCTGGTCTCTCCACTATATTACACTGGTTTATGTTTCTGTTTACATGACAATACCATAATGTTTGATAACTATACCTTTGTAATATAGCTTGAAATCAGCAATTATGATGCCCAAGACCAAGAGTCACATGCTCTACCAACTGAGCCAGCCAGATGCCTCGATATATACATCTTTTTGTAATGTGTATCCATTAAAAAATTATCATAGCTACAGTTACTTTTAGTACTATTGGGTTTTAACTTTTATACTGGCATTAAAAATGACTGAAGCACCACCATTACAGTACTGAAATATTCTGAATTAGACTATATACTTACCTTTTCCCAGGAGAGTTACACTTTTCATTCTGCTAATTCACATCCTTTCATTTCAACTTGATGAAATCCCTTTAGCATATATTGTACACCAAGTCTAGTGGTGATGAACTTGCTTAGCTTTTATCTGTCTGGGAAAGTCTACCTTTCATTCATTTCTGAAGGATAGTTTTGCCAGGTAAAATATTCTTGGTTAGCAGATTTTTTCTTTTAATACTTTGGCTAGTTCATCCTACTCCCTCCTGGCATGCAAGGTGTCTGCTGAGAAGGCAGCTTATTGTCTTTTGGAAGTAGCCTTGTATGTAGCATTTCATTTTTCCTTGCTGCTTTCCATATTCTTTTTGCCTTTGCCTTTAGACAATTTGAATATAATGTCTCAGTGAAGACCTCTCAATTTCAGCCTCTTTGAAATTTTTGAGCACCATGAATCAGGATGTTTATTTCCTTTCCTGGATTTAGGGATTTCTCTGGCATTATTTTATTAAATAAGTTCTCTGTCCTTTTCTCTTTCCTTGTTTCTTCTGAGGTTCTCAAAATGTCTATATTGTGTCATTTGATGGTGTTCTGTAAGTTACTTCTTCACTCTTTTGAATTGGTTTTCTTCACTCTTTTGAGTTGTTTTTTCTTTTTGTTCCTGTTTGAATTTGAATTTCAAATTATCTGTCTTCAAGCTCAATGATTCTCTCTTATGCTTGAGTCTGCTGTTGAAGCTCTTTATTGAATTCTTTAGTGAAGTCACTGTATTCTTCAGCTCCAGAAATTGCTGGGTTCTTTTTTTATGCTTATCATCTCTTTCTTAAACTTTTCTTTTTGTTTATGTATTGCTTTCCTGATTTCCACTAGTTGTCTGTGCCCTCTTGTAGTTCACTGAGCTTCCTTAATATGATTATTTTGAATCATTTTCCAAGCAATTCCTAGATTTCCATTTCTTTGGGGCCCACCACTGGAGCTTTATTTCCTTGATTCTTCATGTTCCCTGAATTCTTCCATCGTTATCTTTGCATTCAAAGAAGAGGTCCCCACTGTTAATCTTTACTGACTAGCTTTGAGAGTGAAAGACCTTCTCCAATCAGCCCAGCTAAAAATGTGGGGGGTTTCTCAGGCCTTTTTTATGGATGTACTCACCCCTATGTTCTTGTTCCCTCTGCAGGAGCATTTAGGATTTTGTGTCTGCTCTTGATCCCATAAAGTCAGTCTGGGTACTGAGAGCCTCCTGTTTATTTTCTCCAAGATGGTGCCCTGGAACATTTAAAATTATATGCCTTCTCTCATTCTTACATAATTGAGCTAGCTGCTGATATCTACACACTGTGCAGATGCTTGTACCTGCCATCTGCAGAAGCTTGTATGCATCACTTCAGGATATATACAGAGTGTTAGGGGCATTTGTCACCCAGTTGAGGGGTTAGGGGTACATGCAGGTAAGGAGTCCCATAGCGTTCATGGATGGGTCTCTTGGTAGAGTCCACAAACCACCTAGTAGGATCTGTAGCTGGTTTTTGAGATCCACATGATGGCTTCTGTGATGCCCACTCCCTTTCTTTTTCCCCATATCCCCCCAAAATATTTAGCTATGCTGATCACCTCGGTGACCTGGATGGGTTGAAACAGAAGTTGGCTTCTTGGGCAATGTCTCACAAGGCTGGGGAAACAGGATGCTCATTCCACTTTCACTTTCCCCCTGGGAGAAATCACAGGCTGAGATGATCTCTCCTGGCACTGAGTTCCACTGCCCTTGGGGAGGGGTGACATGAGTAAAGTGAAGCTGTTTTTCTTACCCTCTTCAAGGCATCTATTTATGGACATTTTGCTCCAGTGAGGTGCTGGAATCTTTTCATGGACTCCTGGTTTGCCACAGAGGTATTCCCATCCATGATGGTTATCAAAATTAATGTTTGTGTGGAGGGTATGAGGACTTGGAATCTCCTTTTCTGCTGTCTTGCTGACAGCACCTACCCAGTGCCTGATCAGATTTATGTCATTCTTTCCTTCCAGAAAATCCACTGATGACACAATGAGACCAAAGGTGGGTAAGAATTCCAAATAGACAGTTTGCTTTGGGGCTCCTGGTTTCTAAGGAAAATGGAGAAGGGACTGCACTCAGGAGGCAGAAAGCTGCCTAGTAAGGACCATATCTTGGAGGACTTGGACACTGTAGTTCAGGGATCTGAACTACAACTGGTGGATCACAGTCTACCAAGACTAGGTAATATTTTCAATGCTACTACTATACTAGATAACTCCATGGGAAGGCAGCCTATGTGGGTATTCATAAGGGTAAAATATGCATCTCTGTCACCCACCAGCTAGGTCAAGAGATGACAAGAGATACAGCCTAAAAAGGACTCAATAGGGCTAAAGGAGACTTTGGACTGTCTGAAAAATAGGGTGACTTGAAGTGTCCATCTCCATTCAAAAAAATATCCTATAGTCCATCAGTTTCATGATGTATCTATTCAAATTCTGGGAGAGTTAGAGTAATGTTCCCAAAATGTGTCTCTTATTTCAACAGGAAATACAGCTAATAATCACTGAAGCCCTGTGGGACCAAGTGAGTATGAAGGGGTCATCTTTGACAGCATGGTGAGAAGTGGGAGAAGGGAGAGATGACTTAAGAAAGGAGCAAACTTCTTCTTTTCCCCTTGAGTAATTGCTGATTGATAGTGAAGGATTCCTATGCTCTCTCCTGTCTTGTTCTATTACTCACCCAATCCCAAATCCTCAGAAACTCATCTTTGTGCACCTTGGCACTTTCTAGATATTCACCTGTCCATTTAGATAATCCCTCTCAAATATGTTTTCTCTGCCAGCCTTTTAATAAGAACTATAAATCATGGAACACTACATCAAAAACTAATGATGAGCTGTATGGTGACTAACATAATGCAATATAAATAAATAAATAATAAAAAGAATAAATCTCATCCACTAACAAAAAATCCATACTCACTTGAGAAATACATATATTTTAAGTCTTGGATGAGAAGAAGACAAAGTTACAATTTTGTTATGAAAATTAAAGATCTTAATTCCATTTCTGATCCAAAAGAAAGTTATTTTACCTTTAGAGCTACTCAAATTGTGTAACAAATACTTCACTGTGGCCCTTAAATCCTATTTCATAAAAATAATTTTCTGAAACATTTGGCCCCTCCAAGAATGAATTTGCTTAAAAACAAACCTCTCAAAAAATAAATGACTCAACCTGAAGAGTAGAGATGTTTAGTTTTATCTATTTAAATGCAAAATTAAATCCATTAACAATGATTAATTTTCATATAATTACTAGTGAGTTTCACAGAGTAACATGTTAAGTGGTCCCATTGCTCCTAAAGGTCTTATCTGGAAGGTGATTGGGATTTTTGTCATTAGCACAGACGAGGATAGTTTTCTCCCTCCCATTGGCTATGGCCAGCAGGTCTATATCAAGACACTAAAAGACATCAAAATTGGACTGTCATTCAGATATAATTTCAACATAACTTCAATATTTTGGACAGCATTCTGCTTTGAATTACTTATAATAGGAAATTGTTTTATTACTAAGGCATTTCTCTGTTGTGAATTTCTTTAAAGTATTTTAACAAAGATTCTGGAGGAGTACAAATACCAGATTCATTCCATGGGATCAGAGGTTGCTAATAAAAAATTTTTAATGCTTTGAAATTTCCTAGACATTCCCAAATTTATTGACAGTAGTTTAACTGAGAATAATGGCTAACAAGTAGAAAACTATGCCTGGAGCTTTCCTATTCTTCAAATTTATTAGATTTGAGAGACTCAAACCTGTTTTTCATTGAAGACTTCTAAAGTGTTGAGAAGCAAAAGAATATGATTCTGTACTTTGGATGTAAAGAATAATTGCCATTTTTGTGGTTAGAAAAAAAATAACTGAATCTCACTTCAGTGACATGAGATTAAATCATTTAAATTTATTTAATTAAAGATATCCAGTCAAAAACAGCCTTCTTCATTAAATCAAATGTTTGATAATAAATTAAATTGTTGAGTCCAATTAAGAGTGTGTTTTGGAATCTGACAACTATGAGTTGAAAATTTTAAAAAAGGTCCCTTAGGTCACCAATGTAAATGTGCTGCCTTTGGTTTTCTAACTAAAGCAATGCCATGAGCAGTAAGTCTCAGAATCTACATTATTCAGCCTGGATTTTGAAATTGCTTTACAACAGATTTAAATTTAATGAATTTGAGAGTAGCTTTTTTTCATTATATAAAAACTGATGTTCTTTCCATTTTCACAAAATGTCCTTGGTTTCCCAGCTATACAAAAATAATAAGGTGTCAAATTCTCAAACATGAAAATGCCAGACTTCACTTTACATTTGAATGCTATGTCAGGGGAGAAGCTAACTATGCCAATAGATAGCCAGAGCAAGCTGTTGTGAATGTTCATAGACTACACAGACATTATTTGGAGTTTCTGATGACTTCCCAAAAATATCAACTACTTCAACTTCCCAATCTTAACAATTCAGTTTCATGTACACTTAAACTCTTAGATAGGGGGTTGATCCCTCTGAACCTATAACATAAGTTTCCCTACGGGGCCAAGCAAGAAAAGACTATTAAATTAACGACTCTGGATTTTCTGTTAAAACAAGTAAAAGTCTCCACAGCCTCTCCTGCAAGCTCCCACTGAACAATATTATATGAAATGAGTAATGTGATCAACTTCTTTATTCACTGTGATTTTTCAATTACTCTTCCTATAAGTTCTACAGAAGAAAGTAATCTTCCTAATTAAAATGGGTAGGATAAGAAATTCCTTAGAGGGAAGAAGGAAAAAATGGCAGAGGAGTAGGGGATCCTATTTCAACCAGTCCCCTGAATTGAGCTGTATATCTACCAGACCATTCTAAACACCCATGAATCAGCCTGAGATGTAAGAAGATATATCTGGAGCTCTACAAAGGGAGTATCTCCAGCAGTTGGTCTCAAGGTATGAAGCAGGGAGCCATGATTCTGCGGGCAGATATCAGAAGATAAATGGAAGGGGGAGGGAGCCTCCATGATCTTGCTCTGGGAAGGCAAAAGCTTCCCGTGCTGGGGACCATGCACAGACTTGCAGACCAGTAGCAGCAGGGAAAGGACTTTAGGGCAGCCCCCCAGACTGAAACCTGAAGCTATGGGGGTTGTGAGCAAAAGGAGGGGGGGTCAGCTTGTGGTTTTAGAAGCACAAAGGGCAAAGATATGCCCAGCCCCAGAAGCAAGGGCTGGGAGTGCTTCTGTGGGGTGTACAACCTAGGACAATGCAGTTTTTGGCAGCACAGTCAGAAACGGAGACAGTGTGGCCTGGAGAGCTCAGTGAAGAGCAGAAGGCAATCTCTCTATTCTGAGATAGAGGTTTTGATATGGTCACTTCTGCTTTGACTCTTGGAAGAGACATGGAAAGCCACCAGGGAAAGCCACCAGAGAACAAAAGCCCAAAAAACCTGGTTTTCACTGAGACCATCCCCCCCACAGGGGGCAGGGCAACCCTGCCCAAACCGAGTTGCCTAAATAATAGCACAACAGGCCGCTCCCCTAGAAGACAGGCTGGAAGAACAAGAGGCTGACAACCTTAAGGTCCCTATAAAACAGGTATATCTTGCTTGGGTTGTGGTCAATAATTTGGACTCTGTACATTCCTTCAACTACCCCTCAACAGAATGACTAAGAGGAGGAACCCCTAACAAGGGAAAGTATCAGAGAATATGGCCTCTGCCACAGAACTAATGGGTATGGATATAACCAAGATATCAGAAATAGACTTCAGAGTAACAATTATCAAGGCAATATCTAGGCTTGAGAAGAGTATTATTGACAATATAGAATCTCTAAGGGCAGAAACGAGATCTAATCAGGCTGAACTTAAAAATGCTATGAACGAAATGCAGTCTAAACTGGATACTCTGACTTCCAGGGTAAATGAAGCAGAAGAACAAATTAGTGAGCCAGAGGATAAGATGATGGAAAAGAAGGAAACCAAGGCAGCATGGGAAAAACAAATTAAAACCAAGGAATCAAACTGAGAGAGATTAGTCACTCAACGAATCATTCCAATATCAGAATTATTGGGATCCCTGAGGGGCTGGAGAGAGAGAGATCTAGAAGATATATTTGAGCAAATCTGTAGTTGAGAACTTCCCTAATCTGGGGAATGAAATAAGCATTCATGTCCAAGAGGCAGAGACAAGCCCTCCCAAGATCAATGAGAACAGACTGATGCCATGACATAGAATAGTACAGTTTGCAAATCTTAGATCCAAGGAAACAATTTTGAAAGCAGTGAAGTGTAAGAGATTTCTTACACACAGAAGAAGGAACATCAGAATAGCATCAAACCTGTGCACAGAGACTTGACAAGCCAGAAAGGGCTGGAAAGACATAGTCAGGATACTAAATGAGAAGAACATGCAGCCAAGGATACTTTATCCAGCAAGGCTGTCATTCAGAATGGATGGAGAGAAAAGAGCTGCAAAAACCAGCATAAACTGAAAGACTATGTGACCACCAAGCTGGCCCTGAAAGAAATATTAAGGGGGGTTCTATAAAAGGAGAAAGACTCCAAGAGTGATATAGATCAGAAATTTAAAGAGACTATAGAAACAAGGACTTCATAGGCAACATGATGACAATAAAATCTTATCTTTAAATAATGACTCTCAACATGAATGGCCTAAATGCTCCCATAAAGCAGCACAGGGTTGCAGACTGGATAAAAAGACAGGACCCATCCATATGCTGTCTACAAGAGATTCACTTTGAACCTAAAGATACAGCCAGGCTTAAAGTGAAGGAATGGAGAACCACTTTTCATGCAAATACACTGCAAACGAAAGCTGAGGTATCAATTATCATATCAGACAAATTAAATTTTAAGCTAAAGACCGTAGTTAGAGATACATAACAATACTATATCATTTTTAAAGGGTCTATCCAATAAGAGGATCAAACAACTATAAATATCTATGCCCCCAACACGGGAGCAGCCAACTACATAAGCCAACTGTTAACCAAAATAGACATACTGATAATACATTAATAGTAGGAGACCTCAACACTCCACTCTCAGCAACAGACAGATCATCCAAGCAGAAAATCAACAAAGAAACAGGAGCTTTGAATGGCACACTGGACCATATGTACCTCATAGATATATACAAAACATTCCATCCTAAAACAACAGAATACTCATTCCTCTTAAGTGCACATGGAGCTTTCTACAGAAGAGACCACATACTGGGTCACAAATCATGTCTCAACTGACACCAAAAGACTGAGATTATTCCCTGAATATTCTCAGATCATAATGCTTTGAAAGTAGAACTCAATCACAAGAAAATATTTGGAAGAAATTCAAACACTTGGAAACTAAAGACCATCCTGCTCAAGAAAGTTTGGGTCAACCAGGAAATGAAAGAAGAACTTAATTCATGGAAACCAATGAGAACAAAAACATGCTGGTCCAAAACCTATGGGGAATGTAGCCATCCAAGCCTCACTCAAATAAATGCAAAAATCCTGAATACACAAATTAACTTTACACCTTAAATAACTGGAGAAAGAACAACAAATAAAGCCTAAGCCATGCATAAGAAGAGAAATAATTAAGATTAGAACAGAGATCAATGAATTAGAAACCAGAAATACAGTAGAACACATCAATGAAACTAGAAGCTAGTTCTTTGAAAGAATTAATAAGATCAATAAACCAATGGCCAGACTTATCCAAAAGAAAAGAGAAAGGACCCAAATTAATAAAATTATGAATAAAAGGAGAGAGATCATGACTAACACCAAGGACACAGAAACAATCATTAGAAATTATTATCAACAACTATATGTCAATAAATTAAGCAACCTGGAAGAAATTAATGCCTTCCTAGAAAACTATAAACTACCAAGACTGAAACAGGAAGAAACTGACCACCTAAATAGACTAATAACCAGTAACAAGATTGAAGCAGTGATCAAAAACCTCCTAAAAAACAAGAGTCTACAATCTGATGGAGTCCCTGGGGAATTCTACCAGACATTCAAAGAAGAAGAAATACTACCTATTCTCCTGAAGCTGTTTCAAAAAACTGAAACAAAAGGAAAACTTCCAGACTCTATGAGACCAGAATTACCTTGATCCTAAAACCAGGCAAAGACCCCAACAAAAAGAATTTCAGACCAATACCCCTGATTAATATACATGCCAAAATTCTCAACAAGATCCTAGCTAATAGGATCCAGCAGTACATTAAAAATATTATTCTCACAACTAGGTGGGATTTATCCCTGGAATGCAAGGGGGGTTCAACATTCGCAAATCAATCAGTGTGATAAAACACATTAAGAGAAGAGACAAGAACAGTATGGTCCTCTGAATTGTTGCAGAGAAAGCATTTGACAAAATACAGCATCCCTTCCCAATTAAAACTCTTCAGAGTGTAGGGATAGAGGGAACATTCTTCAACTTCATAAAAACCATCTATGAAAAGCCAACAGTGAATATCATTCTCAATGGGAAAAAGCTGAGAGCCTTTCCCTTAAGATCAGCAACATGACAAGGATGCCCAACCTCACCACTACTGTTCAACATAGTACTAGAAGTCCTAGAAACAGCAATCAGACAACAAAAAGAAATAAAAGGTATTCAAATTGGCAAAGAAGAAGTCAAACTCTCTCTCTTTGCAGATGACATGAGACTTTTTGTGGAAAACCCAAAAGACTTCATCCCCAAATTACTAGAACTCATACAGCAATTCAGTAATGTGGCAGGATACAAAAGCAATGCACAGAAATCAGCTGCTTTCCTATACACTAAAAATGGGACTATAGAAAGAGAAATTAGGGAATTGATTCCATTTACAATAGCACCAAAAACTCTAAGACACTTTGGAATAAATCTAACAAAAGAGGCAAAGGATATACTCTAGAAACTACAGAACACTTATGAAAGAAATTGAAGAAGACACAAAAAGATGGAAAAGCATTCTATGCTTAAGAATTGGAAGAATAAACATTGTTAAAATGTCCATGCTGCCTAGAGCAATCCAGATCAAAATACCATTGATGTTTTTCAAAGTGCTGGAACAAACAATTTTAAAATTTGTATGACCCCTGAATTGCCAAGGAAATGATGAAAAAGAAAAAGCTGGGCGCATCATGTTGCCTGATTTCAAGCTGTATTATAAAGCTGTAATCATCAAGACATATGGTACTGGCACAAAACAGACACATAGATCAGTGGAACAGTAAAGAGAGCCCAAATATGAACCTGCAACTCTATGGTCAACTAATCTACAACAAGGCAGGAAAAAATATCCAATAGAAAAAAGACAGTCTCTTCAATGAAGGATGCTGGGAAAACTGGACAGCTGTATACAGAATAATGAAACTCGACCATTCTCTTACATCAAACACAAAGATAAACTCTAAATGGATGAAAGACTTAAATGTGAGACAGGAATCCATCAAAATCCTAGAGAAGAACATAGGCAGTAACCTCTTCAACATCAGCCACAGCAACTTCTTTCAAGACACATCTCCAAAGACAAGGAAAACAAAAGTGAAAATGAACTATTGGGACTTCATCAAGATCAAAAGCTTCTTCACAGCAAAGGTAACAGGCAACAAAACAAAGAGGCAACTCATGGGATGGGAGAAGATATTTGCAGATGGCACTACAGATAAAGGTCTGGTATCTAAGATCTCTGAAGAACTTCTCAAACTCAACACCTAAAAAACAATCAAGTGAAAAAAAGGGCAGAAGACATGAACAGACACTTCTCCAAAGAACACATACAAGAGGCACCTGGGTAGCTCAGTGGTTAAGCCTCTGCCTTCGGCTCAGGTCATGATCTCAGGGTCCTGGGATCGAGCCCCGCATCGGGCTCTCTGCTCAGCAGGGAGCCTCCTTCCCCCCCTCTCTCTCTCTCTGCCACCTCTCTGGCTACTTGTGATCTCTGTCTGTAAAATAAATAAAATCTTTAAAAAAAAAAAAAGAAGACATACAAATAGCTAACAGACACATGAAAAAATGCTCATCATCATTAGCCATAAAGAAATTCAAATCAAAACTACACTGAGATACCACCTTACACCAGCTAGAATGGCAAAAATCAACAAGGCAATAAGCAACAAATGCTGGAGAGGTTGTGGAGAAAGGGGAACCTCTTACACTGTTGGTGGGAATTCAAGTTGGTACAGCCACTTCAGAAAACTGTGTGGAGTTTCCTCAAAAAGTTAAAAATAGAGCTACCCTATAACCCAGTAATTGCACTATTGGGTATTTACTCCAAGATACAGATGTAGTGAAAAGAAGGGCCACATGCACCTCAGTGTTCATAGCAGCAATGTCCACAATAGCCAAACTGTGGAAAGAGCAGAGATGTCCATCAACAGATGAATGGATAAAGAAGATGTGGTCCATATACAATGGAATACTATTCAGCCATCAGAAAAGATGAATACCCAACTTTTGCATCAACATGGATGGAACTGAAGGAGATTTTGCTAAGTGAAATAAGTCAATTAGAGAAAGGCAATTATCATATGGTTTCACTTATTTGTGGAACACAAGGAAGAGCATGGAGGACATTAGGAGAAGGAAAGGAAAAATGAAGGGGGGTAATCAGAGTGGGAGAGGAACCATGAGAGATATGGACTTCAGGAAACAAACTGGGGGTTTTAGAGGGGAGGGGTGATGGGAGGGGTTAGCCTAGTAATAGGTATGAAGGAGGGAACATACTGCATGTAAACAATGAATCATGGAACACTACTTCAAAAACTAATGATGTACTGTATGGTGACTAACATAATAAAAAAATTTTTAAATAAAAATATAAAATAAAATGAATAGGATAACTTTTTCATGTTTTTACAACTACTGTATTAGCTAAAGGTGAGTTGCTTATGTAAGCAACAGAAAACCATCCTGTTGGGAACCAGTACATAACTGGATACCTATGATATTAAAAAGGATGAATGTGATACAACAAAGAGTGAACACAGGCAGTATACAGATAACTGGCATAGTCCACCCCATCAACTATTCAGTTTCCATATGCATCCATAGACACATGTTGAAACTCCTGAGTATCAACAAAAACAAATCTTTACTTCCACCAAACAAGATACAACTATCTATCTCAAAGTCCTCATCCTTTCCCCAAAATGAGGCAACTCAGATTTCCAACAGTCATTATATCCATCCATAGCTTGGTGCAAGTGGAGTTATATATTTAGTTTTACAAAAACTGCCAGAGCTTTTCCCAAAATGATCATACAATTCTATATACCTTCCAACATTGTATGAGTTCTAGCTGTTCTGTATCCTCACCAATATTTGGTGTTGTCCTCCTATGTATTATAATTTAAATACAAATATGTGTTGATTTTAACAGCTATGCTTAGCTTCAGAACAAGGACCAATTAAACCAATGTAGTAGTGGGTTTAATTTATATTCCTTTCACAACTCAGTCTTCTTTAAATAACTTCCTGCATTTTACCCATCTACCATATGGAGAAATGGTAGCCCAGAAATATATGTAGAGTAGAAGTCAGTGGGATTTATTGTTAAATCTAGGAAGCCATAGTCATCTTGGCATTCACACCCTATAGCCTAATAGCTGGAAGATTCTATATATAAAATTCCTCTGTAATAAAGCCTAGAACATTAATTTTTCATAATTTTTGTGTCTTCTTTTCAGGTGTTAATGGCCTTTAGGGATATACAAAAGGAGGTGAGATTAAAATTCAATTCTCTAAATTCCCTGATCATATCACTTTCCCTTGCTTCCATTTTTACTATACCCTAATGTGATGTTGACCCTGATCAAGGTTTTAGTTTCATTCCTTTATCTAGTGATTTCTCCCTTTATAGAGTTGCACTGACTTGTCAGTTCAGGAAGCTAAGGGAAGAAGAGGTTTAACAACCCCCTTGTGGAAATATGATAACAGAGAAAATTGTATCTACGAGAACTTCTCTCAGTAAGAATACTCTGTGTAGTTATACAAAACACTGATAAGTGACTGAGTTAGAAGGAGTCCCCAACTGACATGGTAAATTTCCTTAATGGGCAAGTACATCGACTAACTGTAGGGAAGTGCAAATTAGAGGCCAGAGTAAATGTCTTTGCTAAATAAAAACATTCCTCCTCCTCTGCTCTTCCTCTATGCAGATTTCAGTCTTTTTCTATACACTGATCAATATTTTTAAAATATGGTCAAACATGCACTATATTATTGGCCTGTCCCAGACACTGGGTTATTATATTAGCTTGCTCAAGGTCTTGATATATCTGAGTCCTACCAAGCCTGCTCTCCCACCTTCCCACCTTTTTTTTCTGCCTGGTACAGTGGAGAACAATAAGCACTCTCTACATAATTTCTCATCAGTGACTATTTATATAAGTAAATACATAGCTTAGAACAAGTACTAATATTATAAAACCAAAGTAAATGGGAAACTTTTAGACAGATGTCTTAACCTTTGTTTTTCTGACTAAAGACACAGTTTCATTAAAATTATATTTTAAAACTCTTAGAAATAGTTCTCTCTTCCTAGTTGGCAAGAGGTGATGTATAAATTAACTGAGAAGGCACTGAACATAAATTTCCTCTAATTCACTATCTGAACCACTTTTGGCCTTAGAACTGAAACTATTCTATAGTCCCAAGAAGCTATGTCTTTGTATTCTGTTGCTATGGCTGGGACTTACTCTAACGAAAATTAAAGCAGTCTTTGCCTCCATCTGGCTGCAAGTAAAAGGGGGCACTGGTTAGAGGTCAGAAATTTGATATTTTTACCCAAGCCTTAGGGTCAGAGTGCCTCCACCCTACTTAGAAATTTAGTTCCCTGAGGACTGTATCTCCTCCAGATAGCATTTCAGTTAGTAAAAGGAGGAAGCCTGTCTATAAGCGGGACTTGTGTGTGTTTACTTCCATCCTCTCAGGACCTATATATGAAGTTAAAAGTCATCTGATGTCCTCTATGCTGAAGTTCTCTTCTTGTGCTTCTTCATGGGGTCCACCAGAGAAATCCCTGCCCTCAAGGATCCTCCAGGCTGGTACAGCCAAAACAGACACTCTAGTCACAGACTTATTAAGAACAATTTTTGTACTTAAATACTGAGGGAATAATGTCAAGCAAAAGATATCAGGGAAAGATAGAATGTACTTTCTTTTTTGATTAGATAAAGATTAGGACCCATGCCTAGAGCACTATTATGCAGAGAGATGATCTACCAGACTCCTGTTTGCTCTGGGGTCCCAAAGGGTATATCATCACCAGCTGTTTACTCTAGGATGGGTACGAAGGATTTTTTGAAGGTCTTTCAGAGATATTAAAAGGTTCTCCTCAGAGAACCACTGGAGATGCAGAGAGTAAAGGGGCCAGAAAAGGGAGAGCAGAAAGGCCAGAAAAAAATAAAAGAGGAGAGACCACTAAATGAGCAATTATGACCATATGAATTGTGTGTCTCCCACCCCCTAAAGAGGCCACCTCTCATCCTATTTATTTATTATTCAATAAACATTTATTGAGCAGATACTCTATACAGGGTATTATGTTAAGTGGTTTGGTATGAAGGACACACAAATAATAAAAGTTCTGCTTTCAGGAAACTTAGAATTTAATTCCATCCCCTAAAAGCCCATAATTTCCCACATAAACATCACTACGTTTGACCAAGTGTACAGCTGTTATACCGAATTTTCAGAGGAGACTAGCCTCTAAGTCTCTGACTCTCCCTGAATTCTCATTATTTTTCAGCTGCAGGAAGATGCTCGGATTCGAGGTAAAAGAACAGTATTCCAAGTTTTGATTAAGCCTATAGTGGTGGGAGGGGAAAAGGAGGAGTTTAGCCCAAAGACTCATCTTCCATTTGGCTAAAAGCTAGAGCTGAGGTACTCTTTTCTTGCCCCACCGCTCTCCCCCGCCACCTTCAGCCAAGTGAAACAATGGCTCTCCCTGAACTCCCATGAGTACTGCTAGTCTCTCCTCTGTCCAACCCAATTACCTGGACAGGTTCCTCCCATGGGATGCCTGCTGAGGACTTAAGGATACTCTCAGCCCTCAGTAAGACATGGCTCTTTTCAGTAGAGGAGAGACAGCAAGCATAGAGGTTAGCAGCTTCCCAATTCTCCTTTATGGGCTTAGCAGGGCTGGCATAGGGACTAAACAGTGGGGTGGTCAGAACAGAATGCTTATTCAGAGTGGTCAAGTTATAGTTCTCAAATGCCCAGATGCAAATTCCAGTGTTCAAGGAAAATGTTCAAAACACCCAGAAGCCTAGAATTACAGCACAAAAGCCATATCTGGAACACCTTCCTTCATCCACCCAAGAAGGAATTTAAAAAACAGGGCTTTTCAAACTTCATTATTTTGTGTAAGTATACAAATCACCTGTATACCTTGTTAAAAAGTAGATTCTGATTCAGTAGGTCTAGCATGGACCTGAGATTCTATATTTCTAACAGGTTACAGTGTGATTCCAAAACTGCTGATTCATTCACCAGTATTGAGGATATAAATAACTGAGCCAAGGAAGGAATCAGAGGAATCAGAGGGAGGAGGAAATCAAAAGAGGAATCTAACAAGTCTAGAGGTCTCTCCAGGAATTAAAACTACCCCATGCTTTTCTAGCCTCTCCCCAAAAGAGAGCTCATAAGAGGCCAAAAGTTCTTGGATCTTTAAATACAGCCAGTCTAGAAAGAACCCCCCCAAATCTTTCTCCAAGCCTGTTTAATCACCTCCATTCGTCAGAATGTAAAGAATTATGACCAGGTAGCCTCCATCATGAGATACAGAGGATATTTTCTTGGCTGCTGATCCCTAAGGGTCAATAGGCCAAAAGAGCCAAACTTACCTCAGCTTGAAGGATATTCTCATTTATCTAAGAACGGCTGACTTTCAAGGAAGTCACTGCAGGGCTTTGAGAATAACCATCTGATAACCTAGAATATAAAAATGTTGACTTATGATCCCAACTGTTGCTGCTACTAGTTTTCTGCTTCCTAAAATGGTGGGGTGGGGGTGGTGGGGGGATTCAGAATAGGATGAGAATTCTAGCCTCATTGTGTCTATTTTCCAAACAAAAAAGGAGACAGGAAGTGAGAAATCAAGGACCTGGGCCCCAGTGGCAGTGCCCTGGGACTGAGACATTTTGCTAACTCCTAATGTCCAGCTATGATTAAACAGATCTGATGGCCATAATTCACTATGGTTTGCAAGTGATCAGATGTCTGGTGCCACATTCTGCAACTGCCTCTCTGACAGCCTGTAAGTTTTCAGTTTAGTTTAAGTTCTAACTTCTCCTTCCTTGGCTATAGTCCTAAGTAAGGATGTGAGCAGGGCTCAGGGCTCTCAAGGAAACATTTCTAGACCCCTTTAACAGAATGACTCTTTCATGTGTCCACCTCAGGGATGAGCAACTGCTCCATGACACCCAGGTCATCTACATCCTGGACTGGGTAAGTATCTCTCTTATGATAATCCCCAAAGGAGATGGCAACTACCAAGATATGGATATTAATGGCTTGGAATATAGCTGGCTCTGAGCCTTGAGCTTTCAGAAGCCTGTACTTCCAATATACAACTCTCCTAAAAGGGCAGGAGGTGACCACCCCCCTGCACCATTCTTAACTAATGGTGAACTACAGAACCAGGGCTTCTTCCTCCATCCTCAGCCCCTTCAGAGATACCTGTACTCTCAGGATCAGTCCTGGACCTCACCATAATAGATATGGGGAGATTCGTATCAGAATCTTCAGCTGAGGGAATAAGGGAACACAGAAAGAATGTCAGATAAGGAAAAAAAAAGTCATGAAAAAGGAATAAAAAAATTAGAAGAACTTCGAAGAAGGAAATTAATAAAAATTTGGTGGAAGTACAAGGTCCCATCATTGGGAAATGTTGATTTCTTTAAAAAATACACACACACACACACACACACTAGGATTGGTTGGCTGGGAAGATGGCAGAGTAGGAGAACCCTAAGCTCACCTTGTTCAATGAATTCAACTAGATTACACTCATATTAACATAAATAACCCAGAAAATAAATCTGAAGACTGGCAGGACAAACTCCACAACTAAAGGTAGAGAAGAGGCCACATCAAAGAAGGTAGGAAGGGTTAAGACAGAGTCTGGGGGTGACACAAACCATAACTGTCAAGGTGGGGAGGGAGCTGGTATTGCATAGAAGGGCAAAAACCACCAGGGAGCCAGGAATGGGGAGGATGAATCCCATAACATTTGCCTTTGAAAGCAAGAGGGGCAAAAGCAGCAGGACTTAAAACCTGAAATTTTAAAAATCAGCCTTCTAGGCTCTGGGAGAGCCCAGAGGATGTTAGGAAGCTGAGTTATTAAAGGGAGAGCATGACAAACAGGCTGTACAGAAATAGTGTAGAACCGTCAGTGTGAAAAATGCCAGGGCAGAAGGGAGGGAGAGCAATTTTTCATCTCAGAGCATGGCCCACAGAGACAGAGATCACATGGAAACCCCCTTCAGAAACAAAGGAGTTATCAGGCTCTGTTTCCCTCCCCCACCTCCCCTGCACAAACAGCCACCTGTGGGAACCAGCACACTGGTGCCAATACTGATTACCTAACTTGCTTTCACCAAGCCTCCTTAACCCCAAGCTTCAGCAGATCCACTTTCTGAGTCACATTACCATTAATCCCATCACTCCAGGACCCCTTCCCCAGAAGGCCAGTGCAACACATCTCCCAACCTATGCACTTTGAGGGGCCTCAGTTCCATTGACAGGGCATGTCTCATTTCACAAGCAGATCACCAGACATGTTAAAACACGCGCCCCCGCCCACCCCAACTCTGCTCGCAACCAAACACTGCCCGCAATAAGCAAAGACAGCCTCTGCAGACAACTAGACTGAAGGGAAAAGAGGACAAGACTCAACAGCAGAGCATATGCAACACACATAGGAGACATTCCCTGAAATGCCAAGCCCTGGGGAAATGGGACACTGCATTGTAGGATACTCAGGTCCTCGTCTTCATAGAGCTATTATCATTAAGATCAGGAGAAGTAGCTGACTTTCCTAACATAGAAACAGACACAAGGAGTTAGACAAAAGGAAACTAAGAAATAAGTCCAAAATGAAAGAAGAGGACCAAACCACAGCAAGAGATTCAAACAGATGTAAGTTATATGCCTGATTAAAAAAAATATATAGGGTAATGATCATAAAGATACTCACTGGATTTGAGAAAAGAGTGAAGGACATCAATGAGACTCTTAGCAAAGATTTTTTTTAAAAGAACCAATGAGAGATCAAGAAAACAATAAATGAAATTTAAAATACACTTGGCAGAATAAATAGCAGCCTAGATGGAGCAGAGACACAAATTCATGACCTGTAAGACAGAAGAGTGAAAATTAACCTAACTAAGCAAAGGAGAGCAAAGAAAATTATGCAAATTGAGAGTAGTCTTAGAGAACTCAGTGACTCCATCAAGCATAATAACCCTCAGATTATAGGGATCTCAGAAAAAGAAGGGAGAAAAAGGGGTAGAAATTTTTTGAAGAAACGGCAGCTGAAAACTTCCCTAACCTGGGAAAGGAAACAGATATCTAGATCCCAGAAGCACAGAGACTCCCTGAAACATTCAATCCAAAGAGATCCACACCAAGACAAATGGTAATTAAAATGGAAAAAAGTAAGAGAATGGTCGAGTTTTATTCTTCTACATAGAGCTGTAAAATTTTCCCAGCACCATTTATTGAAGAGACTGTCTTTTTTCCACTATATATTTTTTCCTGTTTTGTTGAAGATTATTTGACCACAGAGTCCAGGGTCCATATCTGGGCTCTCTACTCTGTTCCACTGGTCTATGTGTCTGTTTTTATGCCAGTACCATGCTGTCTTGGTGATCGCAGCTTTGTAGTAAAGCTTGAAATCAGGTAATGTGATGCCCCCAGTTTTATTTTTCTTTTTCAACATTTCCTTAGCAATTTGGGGTCTCTTCTGATTCCATACAAATTTTAGGATTATTTGCTCCAGCTCTTTGAAAAATACCAGTGGAATTTTGATAGGAATGGCATTAAAAGTATAGATTGCTCTAGGCAGTATAGACATTTTAACAAAGTTTATTCTTCTGATCCAAGAGCATGGAATGGTCTTCCATCTTTTTGTGTCTTCTTCAATTTCTTTCATAAGTGTTCTGTAGTTCCTCGAGTATAGATCCTTTACCTCTTTGGTTAGGTTTATTCCCAGGTATCTTACATTCTCTTACACCATACACAAAGAAAAGCTCGAAATGGATAAAAGACCTCAACATGAGACAGGAATCCATCAGAATCCTACAGGAGAACACAGGGAGTAACCTCTTCGATATCAGCCACATCAACTTCTTCAAGATATGTCTCTAAAGGCAAAGAAAACAAAAGTGAAAATAAACTTTTGGGACTTCATCAATATCAAAAGCTTCTGCACAGCAAAAGAAACAGTCAACAAAACAAAGAGGCAACCCATGGAATGGGAGACGATATTTGCAAATGACAGTACAGACAAAAGGTTGATATCCAGGATCTATAAAGAATTCCTCAAACTCAACACACACAAAACAGACAATCATATAAAAAATGGGCAGAAGATATGAACAGACACTTCTCCAATGAAGACATACAAATGGCTATCAGACACATGAAAAAATGTTCATCATCACTAGCCATCATGGAGATTCAAATTAAAACCACATTGAGATATCACCTTACACCAGTTAGAATGGCCAAAATTAGCAAGACAGGAAACAACATGTGTTGGAGGGGATGTGGAGAAAGGGGAACCCTCTTACACTGTTGGTGGGAATGCAAGTTGGTGCAGCCACTTTGGAGAACAGTGTGGAGATTCCTCAAGAAATTAAAAATAGAGCTTCCCTATGGCCCTGCCATTGCACTACTGGGTATTTACCCCAAAGAAATAGATGTAGTGAAAAGAAGGGCCATCTGTACACCAATGTTTATAGCAGCAATGGCCACGGTCGCCAAACTGTGGAAAGAACCAAGATGCCCTTCAACGGACGAATGGATAAGGAAGATGTGGTCCATATACACTGTGGAGTATTATGCCTCCATCAGAAAGGATGAATACCCAACTTTTGTAGCAACATGGACAGGACTGGAAGAGATTATGCTGAGTGAAATAAGTCAAGCAGAGAGAGTCCATTATCATATGGTTTCACTTACTTGTGGAGCATAACAAATAGCATGGAGGACAAGGAGAGTTAGAGAGGAGAAGGGAGTTGGGGGAAATTGGAAGGGGAGGTGAACCATGAGAGACTATGGACTCTGAAAAACAATCTGAGGGGTATGAAGCAGTGGGGGGGTGGGAGGTTGGGGGAACCAGGTGGTGGGTATTAGAGAGGGCACGTATTGCATGGAGCACTGGGTGTAGTGCAAAAACAAGGAATACTGTGATGCTGAAAATAAAAAAAAATTAAAAAAATGAAGAATATATCTCCCTACTCCTTAAGTGGGAGGTTTATATAACATTATTATATGGATGTACTTTCATTAGTTGTAAGAAATGTGCCATTGTAATGTAAGATGTCAATAAAAGAGTAAAGAAAGAAAAAATAAATTAAAAAAAAAACACAAAAGCAGTGAAATAAGTATTTCTGTAAAAATCAGTCAAGGGATGCATAAAATAAAGGAATGTAAAATATGACACAATATACCTAAGATATGGTGGGGGAGGGACATAAAGAATGGGTTCAAACTTCCTTTTAAAATATTTTATTTAATTTAAAATTAATTAATTTGAGAGAGAGCAAGAAAACACAAGCAGGGGGAGGGGCAGAAGGAGAGGGAGAAGCAGGCTCTCCACTGAGCAGGATCCCCATGTGGGGCTCAATCCCAGGACCCTGGGAGAATGGCTTCAAACTTAAGCAACCATCAACTTAATATAGATTTCTACATGCAAAAGATGTTATACAAAAATCTAATGGTAACCACAAATCAAAAACCAGTAATATATATGCAAGGAATAAAGAGAAAGAAATCCAAGTATATCACTACAGAAAGCCAAAAAAAAAAAAAAAAAGAAAGAAAACAAGAGAAGGATCAGAGAAAATCTATAGAGACAACCACAGAATAAGTAACAAAATGGCAACAAATTCATATCTATCAATAATTACATTGAAAGTAAATGGACTATATGCTCCAATGAAAAGACATACAAAGACAGAGTAGATTTAAAAAAAAAAATCATCTGTTAGAATGGCCAAAACTAACAAGACAGAAAACAACAAGTGTTGGAGAGGATGTGGAGAAAGGGGAATCTTCTTACACTGCTGGTGGGAATGCAAGTTGATGCAGCCACTTTGGAAAACAGTGTGGAGATTCCTTAAGAAAGTCAAAATAGAGCTTCCCTACAACCCTGCAATTGTGTTACTGGGTATTTATCCCAAAGATACAGATGTAGTGAAAAGAAGGGCCATCTGTACCCC